TAACTGATGGTAGAGACACAGTTATACCACATGTAACTGATGGTAGAGACACAGTTATACCACATGTAACTGATGGTAGAGACAGTTATACCACATGTAACTGGTGGTAGAGACACAGTTATACCACATGTAACTGATGGTAGAGACACAGTTATACCACATGTAACTGATGGTAGAGACACAGTTATACCACATGTAACTGATGAAAGAGACAGTTATACCACATGTAACTGGTGGTAGAGACACAGTTATACCACCTGTAACTGATGGTAGAGACACAGTTATACCACATGTAACTGATGGTAGAGACACAGTTATACCACATGTAACTGATGGTAGAGACAGTTATACCACATGTAACTGGTGGTAGAGACACAGTTATACCACATGTAACTGGTGGTAGAGACACAGTTATACCACATGTATCTGGTGGTAGGGACACCGTTATACCACATGTAACTGATGGTAGAGACACAGTTATACCACATGTAACTGATGAAAGAGACAGTTATACCACATGTAACTGGTGGTAGAGACACAGTTATACCACATGTAACTGATGGTAGAGACACAGTTATACCACATGTAACTGATGGTAGAGACACAGTTATACCACATGTAACTGATGGTAGAGACAGTTATACCACATGTAACTGATGGTAGAGACACAGTTATACCACATAAAAGTGATGGTAGAGACACAGTTATACCACATAAAAGTGATGGTAGAGACACAGTTATACCACATGTAACTGATGGTAGAGACACAGTTATACCACATGTAACTGGTGGTAGAGATACAGTTATACCACATGTAACTGATGGTAGAGACACAGTTATACCACATAAAAGTGATGGTAGAGACACAGTTATACCACATGTAACTGATGGTAGAGACACAGTTATACCACATGTAACTGATGGTAGAGACAGTTATACCACATGTAACTGGTGGTAGAGACACAGTTATACCACAAGTAACTGATGGTAGGGACACAGTTATACCACATGTAACTGATGGTAGAGACACAGTTATACCACATGTAACTGATGGTAGAGACACAGTTATACCACATGTAACTGATGGTAGAGACACAGTTATACCACATGTAACTGATGGTAGAGACACAGTTATACCACATGTAACTGATGGTAGAGACACAGTTATACCACATGTATCTGGTGGTAGGGACACCGTTATACCACCTGTAACTGATGGTAGAGACACAGTTATACCACATGTAACTGATGGTAGAGACACAGTTATACCACATGTAACTGATGGTAGAGACACAGTTATACCACATGTAACTGGTGGTAGAGATACAGTTATACCACATGTAACTGATGGTAGAGACACAGTTATACCACATGTAACTGGTGGTAGAGACACAGTTATACCACATGTAACTGATGGTAGAGACACAGTTATACCACATGTAACTGATGGTAGAGACACAGTTATACCACATGTAACTGGTGGTAGAGACACAGTTATACCACATGTAACTGGTGGTAGGGACACCGTTATACCACATGTAACTGGTGGTAGAGACACAGTTATACCACATGTAAATGATGGTAGAGACAGTTATACCACATGTAACTGGTGGTAGAGACACAGTTATACCACATGTTACTGAGACAAAGTCACAGTTATACCACGTTACTGAGACAAAGTCACAGTCAATATCACAGATGTATTAATCTGTTTCACACATTCTTGTTTTTGATGGGGTGTTTCTGACAAGACAACAATTATATACCTGCAGCACACCAATCAAACCTTTGTAAGTACACATCAGTGTAAATCTATCAACATTGATGATCTGAAGTCCAACAATTATTGTGTATAAACATGTAATGGAGTTAATCCCCTGCATCCTGTGAAGGACAGCTTATCAACCAAACACATGTTACACTGCAGTACAAACACATTGATTTTCAACCATCAACTTCATTTCCTCCATCATGGTCATGTGTATTGGTGCCGCAGTGTACCTAGCGAGGTCTACAATGGTTCCAGAACCCTGCTGTTGTATACATGAACATGGAGTTTACATGAGTATTACATGAAATTAAATGGTACATTGTGCAATGATTCAGAGATCTTCATCATGTCAGATTTTATTAACAAGTTTTATATGAAACTTAAAGACAATAATACTTAAAGAGACCTAGGACCATTTCTTTTTCTTTATAACTGGTGTAATTGGAACCATTGCCTTTTCTATGTAACTGGTGTAATTGAAACCGTTGCCTTTTCTATGTAACTGGTGTAATTGAAACCATAGCCTTTTCTATGTAACTGGTGTAATTGAAACCGTAGCCTTTTCTATGTAACTGGTGTAATTGGGACCGTTGCCTTTTTTTATGTAACTGGTGTAATTGGAACCATTGCCTTTTCTATGTAACTGGTGTAATTGAAACCGTTGCCTTTTCTACGTAACTGGTGTAATTGAAACCGTTGCCTTTTCTATGTAACTAGTGTAATTGAAACCATTGCCTTTTCTATGTAACTGGTGTAACTGGAACCGTTGCCTTTTCTATGTAACTGATGTAATTGAAACCACTGCCTTTTCTATGTAACTGGTGTAACTGGAACCGTTGCCTTTTCTATGTAACTGGTGTAACTGGAACCGTTGCCTTTTCTATGTAACTGGTGTAATTGAAACCACTGCCTTTTCTACGTAACTGGTGTAACTGGAACCGTTGCCTTTTCTATGTAACTGATGTAATTGAAACCATTGCCTTTTCTATGTAACTGGTGTAACTGGAACCGTTGCCTTTTCTATGTAACTGGTTTAACTGGAACTGTTGCCTTTTCTATGTAACTTGTGTAACTGGAACCGTTGCCTTTTCTATGTAACTGGTGTAATTGAAACCACTGCCTTTTCTATGTAACTGGTGTAACTGGAACTGTTGCCTTTTCTATGTAACTGATGTAATTGAAACCATTGCCTTTTTTATGTAACTGGTGTAACTGGAACCGTTGCCTTCTCTATGTAACTGGTGTAATTGAAACCATTGCCTTTTCTATGTAACTGGTGTAACTGGAACTGTTGCCTTTTCTATGTAACTAGTGTAATTGAAACCATTGCCTTTTCTATGTAACTGGTGTAACTGAAACAATTGCCTTTTCTATGTAACTGGTGTAACTGAAACCATTGCCTTTTCTATGTAACTAGTGTAATTGAAACCATTGCCTTTTCTATGTAACTGGTGTAACTGGAATTGTTGCCTTTTCTATGTTACTTGTGTAACTGGAACTGTTGCCTTTTCTATGTTACTTGTGTAACTGGAACTGTTGCCTTTTCTATGTAACTGGTGTAACTGGAACTGTTGCCTTTTCTATGTAACTGGTGTAATTGAAACCATTGCCTTTTCTATGTAACTGGTGTAATTGGGACCATTGCCTTTTTCTATGTAACTTGTGTAATTGGGACTGTTGCCTTTTCAATGTAACTTAATCTAATGTAATTGGAACCATTGTCTTTCTATTTAATCTAATATGGTGTAATCGAACTTAAGTATAAGCAGGTGTCAATTGAAAACTAATGACTCATGTACAAAAAAATCAATACTACTATCACAGGAGATAATCGGCTTCTGAAATATACTCTCAAATTTGTCTTGGACAGACAGATTAGAATTTTGATCCAATTTATTTTACTTGAATTCTAAGTCAATGTTTATAGCTTCCACTGATCACAAATGTTTTTAAAGCCAATTAAACTGACCATGTCATATGTATGTTATGTTGTAATGTGTGTATATAAGTATGGATGATGATGTGTTGTGTGTGTATAAGGTATGTATGATGTGTTGTGTGTACAAGGTATGTATGATGTGTTGTGTGTGTACAAGGTATGTATGATGTGTTGTGTGTGTACAAGGTATGTATGATGTGTTGTGTGTGTACAAGGTATGTATGATGTGTTGTGTGTGTACACAGGGTATGTATGATGTGTTGTGTGTGTACAAGGTATGTATGATGTGTTGTGTGTGTACAAGATATGTATGATGTGTTGTGTGTGTACAAGGTATGTATGATGTGTTGTGTGTGTACAAGATATGTATGATGTGTTGTGTGTGTACAAGGTATGTATGATGTGTTGTGTGTGTACAAGGTATGTATGATGTGTTGTGTGTGTACAAGGTATGTATGTATGTGTTGTGTGTGTACAAGGTACGTATACATTGTATAACACAAGTTTCATATCATAATACACTGTACACACTAAACACATCACACATACATTGTATAACACAAGTTTCATATCATAATACACTGTACACACTAAACACATCACACATACATTGTATAACACAAGTTTCATATCATAATACACTGTACACACTAAACACATCACACATACATTGTATAACACAAGTTTCATATCATAATACACTGTACACACTAAACACATCACACATACATTGTATAACACAAGTTTCATATCATAATACACTGTACACACTAAACACATCACACATACACTGTATAACACAAGTTTCATATCATAATACACTGTACACACTAAACACATCACACATACACTGTACAACACAAGTTTCATATCATAATACACTGTACACACTAAACACATCACACATACATTATATAACACAAGCTTCATATCATAATACACTGTACACACTAAACACATCACACATACACTGTACAACACAAGTTTCATATCATAATACACTGTACACACTAAACACATCACACATACATTATATAACACAAGCTTCATATCATAATACACTGTACACACTAAACACATCACACATACATTATATAACACAAGTTTCATATCATAATACACTGTACACACTAAACACATCACACATACACTGTACAACACAAGCTTCATATCATAATACACTGTACACACTAAACACATCACACATACATTGTTTTACACTAGTTACATATAATTCACCAACACTACACATCATACAACATTCTGGGTGGCAACAATTGAAACACTTACTGTTTTCCAGATAAGGACAAAGTTCTTAGGAATAAGTTGTAGTATAAGATGAACAGATACCAGTTCTTTTTCCTCTGCCAATTCTAACTATAAATGGATAATTTTCTGAACTCATGTTTAAGCCTATTGTAAACTGAGACATCTGTTCTATTGGAGTGTATATGATAATACTGTTCATAGAAAGAAATCATAAAGAGAATTTCCACCAGAAACTACAATTCCAATATGACACCATTCTCAGTCTTCTGTGATCATACTTGATCCCAGTGAAATTCTACCTAAATCCCTCATCACAGCAGCCGTATGGTAAAGAATAATAGAAAACCAAGAATTGGATTGCATGTAATTATCTGGTGCAATGTTCTCCTATACAAAGTCATTTTCACCAGAGCACACCCAGTGATTGTGGTATTCCTGTATTTAATGTCCACAAATATGTCGGCCATACAAAGCCACCTGTATACAAAATGTGTCGTGTAAAACCATGACAATTAACAAAGTAAAATTAACACTCAAAGATTATATATCATTGAACTTAAAATAAACATAGGTTGATATAGAAACACACCTTAAATAGACAAAAAGGAAATCATTCAATTTTCTGTCACATTTTTAAGGTTATCTAAAATGTACTACAATCAAGTACAATTAAAACTCCAATACCATAAATTTACATTACTGAACTTTTAAGTACTATCTTTCACAATTTTGTTTACCTTAATGCATTTCAATCAAAGCATCATTATCAAACCATTGTGAAACTGCGGTGGTATTATGATTACTAGACAGTCCTGCTCTACAGATTTCTGCCGGTTTTCTATCCATGACCTTTTAAGATATGCATGTATATTATACATCAACAAAACAATTCCCACAAAAACTCATGTCACAATATAGTACCTTTCATTTATAAACTAAACATGTCTCTGAGAACAGGATGCAATATGTGGATTGAGCTTGAGTGGTAAGAACTGATTATAGCACAGAAAACAATGCAAAATCACAACAGGAAGCTGGAAGTACAGATGGATCTAAATGTACATGTGACAAGGAAATCATAGTTAAGATAAAGTGGTATTGATACACCAGCACTACACTGAAGAGTAATTATCAGCAGAATCACAATAACCAATGATCAATCCTGTCCTCACCAGCAGACAATGAAACACCATAGGATGACAATACCATCCATCTTCAATTACTTAACAAATTACTCATGTTGTTGCTGCATTATCTGTATATCTTATACCTCAGAGCTGGGTATCGCCTCAACAAATCTACATTCCCAATATCTACGTACATCAGTTAACTTGGCCTCAAACTGATCACAAAAGGACTGTTAGAAAATTTTGTCATGCAACTTTCAAAGCTGATCTGGGTCATTCATATTTACCTACATCTGAGCACTCTCCAGTATCCAGTATACAATTGTACATTTCAAATATTACAAACTAGATAAGCACAAATGTAATGGTACTTGGTAGGCCTTCATCTTTGTATGTATGTGTAACTGACATGGCATCACACCAACTCTATGCCTTTTTTCAGTAGGGTAATTGTTACATTTCAATACATTTCATTCCTTGGCCTGTGACCCTGAAAGTTGATCAAGAGAGAACCAGGCAGGCATTATGGTACATTATCCGAGGCATGTTCAGTTGGAAGTGTTATAATTTACATTAATTACTGTTCCATAGCTTTACATTGTTGGGGTGAACAAGCATGTAATCACATGACCATGTGTTTTAAGTGTAAATGGATTAAAAGCAATCTTCATGAAAGATACACCTAGCGTACAAGCCTAGTACACAATGAAGTATGTTTTTTTTCTACAGAATTTTCCATGGTATTGATGGTATAATAACCCAAGATAACTAAATAACAGGTATACTCTGCAAGAGATTAATTTACTGTACAGATATGGGCACACTGTACAAAGGGTAAATTTATTGTACAAAGGTAGACACACTGTACAAAGGGTAAATTTACTGTAGGGAGGTAGGCACACTGTACAAAGGGTAAATTTACTGTACAGAGATAGACACACTGTACAAAGGGTAAATTTACTGTAAAGAGATAGACACACTGTACAAAGGGTAAATTTACTGTACAGAGGTAGGCACACTGTACAAAGGGTAAATTTATTGTACGGAGATAGACACACTGTACAAAGGGTAAATTTATTGTACAGATAAAAACACACTGTACATAAGGTAAATTTACTATACAAAGATATTACTGTACACAGACAGACATAAGATAAGAAGGGTATGTTTACTGTACACAGACAGACATACGATAAGAAGGGTATGTTTACTGTACACGGACAGCCTTACGATAAGAAGGGTATGTTTACTGTACACAGACAGACACATTATAAGAAGGGTATGTTTACTGTACACAGACAGACATACGATAAGAAGGGTATGTTTACTGTACACGGACAGACATACGATAAGAAGGGTATGTTTACTGTACATGGACAGACACATGATAAGAAGGGTATGTTTACTGTACACGGACAGACATACGATAAGAAGGGTATGTTTACTGTGCATAGACATACGATAAGAAGGGTATGTTTACTGTACACAGACATACGATAAGAAGGGTATGTTTACTGTACATGGACAGACACATGATATGAAGGGTATGTTTACTGTACACAGACAGACACATGATAAGAAGGGTATGTTTACTGTACACGGACAGACACATGATAAGAAGGGTATGTTTACTGTACACAGACAAACACATGATAAGAAGGGTATGTTTACTGTACACAGACAGAAATACGATAAGAAGGGTATGTTTACTGTACACAGACAGACACATGATAAGAAGGGTATGTTTACTGTACACAGACAGACACATGATAAGAAGGGTATGTTTACTGTACACAGACAAACACATGATAAGAAGGGTATGTTTACTGTACACAGACAGACACATGATAAGAAGGGTATGTTTACTGTACACGGACAGACACATGATAAGAAGGGTATGTTTACTGTACACGGACAGACACATGATAAGAAGGGTATGTGTTACCCCTCTATGTTGTACTATCCTTATGTTATACAAAAGACCAGCAACAACCGTTCTCAAGTACAAATGTTGAGTATTAACACAAGTTACAACAATGATAACATGTATGGCCTGAGTATCGAGCTTAACCTGTTACTCCTTCCACGGCCACACCAGGACTGACTCTATTTGCTGTGATCTTAAAGTTTATCCTAAAGCAATTATAATCTAATTCTGATAGGGAAAGTGTCTTCTACTGATCTACAATTAAACCGTGACCAGTTAATGTCTCCATGGTGGAGAGCATGTCCAGCCAATGTTTCACGGCATGATTCTGACACTAAGGTGACCGCAATTAAACTATCTGTCTGATAAGCCAGCCGGTCACATTAAGATTTAACACAAATTATGTTCTACACTTGAGTGACAAATTTCACTATTAACATCCCCCTGCCTAAGAAAACTTTTACGGTCTAAAAGTTCAGAGATAGCAAACTGCTCATGATACTCAGGCTGAGATAATATTTAGTATGTACACAAACACTGGTAAGTTTACTTGAACAACAGTTAATTCTAAATTCTACAATTAACACAGTTCATAAATCTGATTCAGATACTGTTAACTTCCTTGGATAAGGTACTTCTGTTAGACTGTCACTGTTTGTTCTTAAGGTATACACATCACAAAACCTTAAAACTACATCCAGAGTCAGTGTTCTTTTTTTTTCTTCTTCTTCTTTGTTCGAGACAGTGGCCCAACAATATCCATAGATATTTTGTAAAATGGCTCACTGATGATCGGTGGTTGTCCTAATAGAGCTTTCTCGCCACCACGTCTTCTGGCGGTCTTTTGACATACGTTACAAGTACTACAGTATTCCTGTATGTCCTTAAAAATCCCAGGCCAATAGAACGAATTAACGACACGCTCTTTGGTCTTTTCTATCCCTAAATGTCCCGCAAGTGGTCTATCATGTCCCAATTTAATGATATTGAGACTTAGTGCCTCTGGTAGTACTACCTGGACTCCATGTTGGGCTCCATCACTAGACTCCCATTTCCTACGGAGAATCCCATTTTCCCAGTACAGGGCATTCCTATCTTCCTGCACAGATTCCTCTGAACTTGCAGCTTTTCTCCGAATGTTGGCTAAAGTTGGATCTTCCTGCTGAAGCTTACTAAGCACTTCAGCATTTACAGCAGAAAGTTCAAGCGGTTCCTCTGTTGTGATGTTAACTGTATCATCCCCATTGCTGTGGGATACAGTCTCACTGATGTTGTCAATGTCCTCACCAACGCCATCGCCATGGTCCAGGTCCACATCGTTCGCCTGTCCAACATCACTTCCCTTACTGGCATCCACTTGGTCCGTGTTGGGGTCCATTCCAACTTTTACATGGCATTCCTTTGCCTTGTCCTCAGCTAGCCTTTCTTCAGCAATGTTATTACGATGTTGTGCACGCGTAACAACATTCACAGCCTTTGATTGTCTCTCTATGATGTCTACCCCCAACAGGGCTTCAGCGACAAGGTCAGGCACTAATCCGACCTGAGCATGTCCCTTATAATATGGCGTGTCCATATCAACGATAGCCAGTTTGGCTGAAAACGGCTGTCCAGTCGCTGTACATAGCGTCTCCCGCTGACCCTCCAATACACAACTTGGGTCCACCAGGTCTTCCCTAATCAAGGTCATCGCTGACCCAGTGTCTTTCACGAAACTAATATCACGGCCATTGACCTCTCCTGGGACATGGATAAGTCCTCCCGTGTATTGTCGCACTAAAAATCCTGCAAGATTTTTACCTTCTCTGTTTTTTGGACATTTCCTCGCGAAGTGCCCGTACTTGTTACAATTGTAACACTGCACACTTTTCATTTGCTCTGTCGATTGCTCCTTTCTCTGGTCCCGATCAGAGGTAAAAGTTTTTCCATTTATACTTTTACCTTGCGTTGATTTGTTTATATTCCGTTCAGGTAGAATATAATCCTCTGCGGCTTCAACCACACTGCTCGACCCTTTGTTACGGCGTATCCATTGTGCTTGTGACAC